ACACACACACACACACACACACACCGCGCCTTGGTCCCATTTTCTAACCCGCTGACCTGTTTCGCTGCAGAGATGCAGGAGGACGGAAACAAACCCAGGATAGACAAATAAACAAACAAACAAATAAATAAACAGGCCCTGCATCTCAAACATTCCTCATTTTATTTCTGCGCGGTTTCGCCACTTTTTGCATATTTTTTTCTGCAAAAAAAAAAAAAGCCCTGAAACATAATTGTGTAAATGTTAAAAAAAATAAAATAATAATAATAATAATAATAAAATCTCTGAAATTGCACGACAACGAAGGAGCGGAGGTTTTCTGAAGTTTGCTGAATTCATGTACTTTAAATGCAACTTTTGTGTTTTAGTTTCTCTAAAAGGGAAAAACAAAACAGACGTTTATGTTAAAGAAAAGAACCTTTAGTTAAAATTAAAAGTCTTCAAATATAACAAATGTACTGCAAGTTTTTTAGTCTTTTTCCTGATGTTTAAAATATTTATATTAACAACTTATTTGTGTCTAAATTATGCAAACTCTCAAAAAACATTTTTTAACATTTAACTGCAAAAAAATGACCTTTGACCAAACCCATTCGGACCTGCGGGTCAGTCAGTCAGAGTTTGTCTCCTCACAGCAATTTGAAACAAAAACTGAACACTTTAACATATTAAAACATAAAAATATAATCAACAGAGACATAAAAATAATAAAGAAATCAAGCTTGCTTGATTAAAGAATAAACCATTTTAATAAAACAGGCCGAACAAAAAGTTGAACAAAAGTCAACAGGAAAATTGTTTCTAAGCATTAATAAAACAATAAAAAACAATAATGCACAGATTTATTTCTAAACAGAGGAAAAACAAAACATTTTTATGATCATAATATGAAATAAATAATCATTTTTATAATATGAAATAAATAATCATTTTTATAATATGAAATAAATAAATTCAAGGGAAATGTTGCTGCTGCTGCTAAAGACAATCTGAAGATATTTCTTATAAATTTGATCAAGGTTTGGATTTTTATTCAAAAATAAATCTTGTAAAGAGAAACCAGCAGGTTGGTTTTAATTTTGAGTGGATTTATTCTCTTAAATGTTTTTTTTTCTTCCTGCTTTTAATTAATTAATTTCTTTTGTTAAAAGGCCCACATGGGGCAGGTCTGACTGAGACTCACTGCATTAAAACTTCCCGGCAGACTCGTTTTATTTCAACACTTTTATACGTTTGTTTCATCTTTAGTTTGTAAAAACAAAACGTTTTACAGATCTGTTTGTTTTCATTTTGTTTTTGCACTTTTTGTAGTTTGTGTTCACTTGTATGACATTTGTATTGTCTGTTTTGTTGCTGTTTGCTTATTTTTATTTTTATTTTCCAGAGAAACTGAAATTAAAAATGATGAAATGATCTGAAGCAGTTTGTGTCTGATGATGTGTGAAGAAAAACACGAGTTATGACCAAAAATCTTATTTAATTCAGGTTTTTAGTCCAAATATTTATCACTGTTTAGTTTGTTTTGTTTGACTTTTTTATTTTATTTTTTTTACTCATAGGAGCTCTATGTTTTCTATTAGATTTATTTTCTAACAATTTTCTCTTCCATTAATTAAAAATAGTTGCATTTTTTTCTAAAGTTACAGTAAAAGTAGACACAAGCTGATATTTCATAAAACGTTGAGATATTTCCGTATTTCTTTGTTATTTTTAATTCTACAGCTTTGTGCAATGAAGAGTCACCTCACAGAAATCATATTTCCTTCTTATGAAGTTTTGTATTTCTTTATTTTTTGTTATGTGAAGAGTTCAAGGCCTAATTAATCAGGATTATGAATATTTTAATGGTTTGTCTCTGAGTTTTGCTCAGCCAAGCGTAAAGTCGTGTTTGTTCACATTCAGCTGACCTAGAAACAAAAACACTGACACATCTGCAAGAAACACACACAAAGTATTTTAACAAGTTTGTTTCTTTTTTTTTTCAGTAAATTATACAAATGATTACAGTGGTCCCTCCTGATAGACATGACTGAGTGTTTAGTTTGTTGGCCTCCATGTGTCTGATCATGTTTAAGAACGTTATCACTGTCATGTGATAAAAACTGGAGGAACATTTATTTAGAACCAAAACTGAGTCCATGTCGGTGATTTTGTTTAAAGACTCTGCGGTCAGCGCATGTTCCAGAGTGAATTTGATTTTTTTTCATCCCAGCATGAGAATCACTTTCCTACACCTAAAAAAATATGGTGCCACTTTACAATAAGGCTCTCCTTATGGCTAATAAACCATTTATAGATAGGTTAATAATTCCTAAAAACACTTTATAAATCGTTAATAACTGCTTATTATGCATTAATTAAGGGTGACAGAGACAAAACTGAGCAGTTTCTTGCCAAATAATGAGCCAAATCTGTTCACCTATATATTTCAGTTGTTATATTAAACATTTCAGACTAAGTTACTACTGTGTAAGCACAATAAGCATTTGTAAATTTATATTTTTTAGGATATAGTATTAGTTGTAGATACTTATAATGCAGTAATAAAGTATAATATTATATGCTAAAAAATAGGTTTACAAATTCTTATTGTGCTTACAAGGTAGTAAGTTAGTCTGAAATGTTTAATATAACAACTCTAGATGAAATATATGGTGAACAGATTTGACTCAATATTTGACAAGAAACTGCTCAGTTTTGTCTCTGTCACCCTTAACTAGTGCTTAATAAGCAGTTATTAATGATTTGTAAAGTGCTTATAGAGGAATTAATAATGTATAAACTATTTATTAATCATCTATAAGGGGAGCCTTAATGTAAAGTGGTGCCAAAAGAAACAAACATTATTTTAGTTTGTTTCTGGAATTTTACCAAAATACACTCTTAAATAATTCTAAGAACAAAACTTGACTTTAACATAAAGCCATTTTACAACTAAATAATAAAGAAACAAACAAATAAATGTAGTTTGTCATTAAAATAAGTCAAACTACAGAAACAAGCTGGTGTTTGTTCTTCATCAAGTAAGTCTGATGTCATTTTTAGGAACTGTCCACATTCTGAAGTGAGTTTGTCAACTTTATCTTTGTTTAATCCTCTACACAACTAAATCTTTGGCATATAAGAAAAACGTTTGCCGTTAAATACATTTTTTAAGTATAAGTATGTGTAGTCATTCAGCATCTTCTTGTTTTTGTTTGTTTTATATTTCAGCCGGACTTTTTCATGGTGCGATAAGATGAGATAGACCATGTGTTGTTCAGGTACTCTCCTTTTATGACTTGAGGATTTTTTGTCTTATTTTAGTCATTTTAAAACAAAACTGAACAGGTTTGGATGTAAAGATGAATCATTAAATTTAAACACAAAAAGAAAAAAATCAAAAGATGGAAACAACTTCAATTGTACTAAATATGGAACTATTTTCCAAGTTACTGACTATTAAAACTAATGAAGCACAGGAAGAATATAACTTTGAATTTCCAGAGCAATTTAGACGGAGCCAGAGGTCTTTGTGTCAGAATGAACAGCTCCATCTCTTTGGTCCAACTGGACGTCCCAAGACATTTTGTTTGTTTGTCTTGTTTTCTAAAATGGTGACAGAACTCATTTTATTTTGGACAAAATGTTGTTTCACTTGTCTTCTGAGTGGTTTTCTCAGCTCAAACTTGAGCTGCAGTGAGATGTTTTTTGTGAAATCGTGAAGTCCGTCCCATCAGCGCTTCAGAGAATTAAACAAGTCCAATCACCTTGAAAGAGACAGAATCTGCACTAACATTAAAATAATCTGTTTCTTTTCTTAATACTCTATTCATTATGATCACCTACAACCATAAAATGTGAATGATCGTGCAATTGCCTGTCTGTTAGCAAAATATCCCATCAATCACATCATTATAGTGCACAGACACTGGTCCTAAAAGAACATGCAGCTTTCTGAAACCACTTTCTTCTAGCTTCATTAACCAACAATGAGAGAAATAAGGGACATTTTGTCTAGTTTAATACAAAATGATGCTGTGAACACAATAAACAAACAAACAAATAAATAAATTAAAAGAGAAAAAAATCCATTAAAATATTTTGAATAGTACATGGTCTAAGTTTTTAAGAATGATCTTTTTTGCTTT